CAATACAAAAACCCAAATCTGTCAAGAATGTTCGTGTTTGAGAAAAATGCGGAAATTTATTTATCGAAACATAATTTAAGAAATTAAAACATGAGCATATCGTTGTATTTGTCACCACGCAACTATTACATTTGAGTAAATCGTCAAATCATCGTCGTGTAATGAAGTGATTCAACTTAGTACTTTGACAATAATCGTGGTATCGAAAACCTAACGCATGACAACAAATGAATGATAAATAAAAATAAATTGATTTTTACACCCATAAAATTATAAATATATATCAAACGTTTAGTTCAAAATCGGAAGAGCACTACTTGTTGTAGCATAACACATCCCGACATCATAAACATGCCGCTTTTCAATCAAAAAATGTGTATCGAACACGCTAATAGAAGCCAAGTGTCACGAGGCGTATGGGTCGTATTATAAGAAACGTGTTACATGTTTTACATTAAAGATTATCATAGTATAAGCAAGAACAGGACACCCTAGCGCGAAATAGAAACCAAATCCATAGTTTAGAAAAGCTGATTCAGAACAAAAATATAAAATTCAGAAGTGACCGAATAAACGAAGTTTACATGTACAATTGCGTTTTACTTCAGAAACGCACAAAATAGACCAAATTAAAAAAAATATAAAACAAGTTGAGAGAACTAGGGTATAGGGTTATATCATGTCAACGTCGTAACAAATCACAATAATCAAGTGGGAGTGTAACTAAGTCCGCTTTGTCGTATGTGCAGTCGCCAACAGGGCTTAGCACATCAAAACGAGAATATAATAAAAATCCTATATGTTCAGCTAAGGGACTTTATCACATCAGCGTGAGTTTAACATATGATGAAATAAACTAATCCGCTAACCCATAGCCGTATAAAGAGTTCTAGAGCATCATCGTGGAAAATATGAAAATGAGGTAATATATAGAAAACAGCTAACACGTAACAGTGATGCACTTGTCATATATATGGTATATACACATATCAACGCAAAGTTATATACATGTAGTTAAAAACAGGACGTTTCTCTGTCAAAGTAATGTAGGAATGGTGTATAGGGATCAGCTAATACATGGCAAGTGATGCGCGTGTATTTTATAGGGCAAATAATCGGCTAATGCATAATGCATGTAGTGACCTTCCTGACACTGTTTAAGAAATTCGATAATACATAGAATTTATAAGATCTGAATTATTTAACAGTGCTAATATAATGAGGTACCATGTAATATGCATATATTTATTTTATGTGCAAAGACGTTTGACTTTTCATTTATTTAACGGATGACGCACTGTTTTATTTATTTAATTGCATAGCGGTGTATGCCTAACTCGTTCAACAGATTTAATTGCGCTGTCAATAATATGACATTATCAGTCTTCATACGCTCACTCTCTAGCCTTTAAAACGTCCTATAATCAGCCAAAAGGCAACGTCGTTTACAAAGAAACGCTTAGTCGTTTTTCAAACCTCATAATCGAAGCAAAGAATTCGCCTGTAGACGTTTTATTACCACGTTGCTTGGTGACTCCTTTTTTTGGTTTTGTTTTTTAGCAAGGAATGTGTTTAGAGTTTAGCTGCAGGTTCGTGGTCATTTTTGGTTGAATTTTTTGTTTTTGCTTTTTATTAGCCAAATATTTGTTGCTATAGTCTGTCAAAAGACGATTGTAAAATATAGAAAACGTGTATAAACATTCTCTATTTTGAATATACTTAGAAACATTCAGCAAGACTGTACATACATTATAAGAAAGAACAATTTTGGAGAAGAAAATGCGTGAAAAAAAAATAGTTACGCCCACAATGCGAAAACGCTTGAAATATGTGCTCCAAAAGAACAAAAGAAATTGTGACCTTGTTTTGCGCAAATTAAATCGCGCTACCGGGCTTTCCTTCTATATGAATCTAAATACTAATTCAAATTATTTAACAGTATACCACTGGAAGTTACCAGGCTAGAAACTGTCGACATATTACGAGATAAGTTTGAAATAAGTTGACTTATCCTTTACAACTGTATGTTAAAAAAAAAACCTTTTATTTTATTCCGCTTCCTACGTCTTGTCTCTTTTTGTGTGTACTAGTAGTTTACGAGACTAGTCGATCGCGCCTGGGGTAAGTAATCAGGGAGCCATGACAGGAAATCACACACCGCCGCACCTTACTGTGGTCGGCAACTCATTTGCATATAACAACAGTGACTTGTGAATCAAAGAGAAACGCAAATATAAACTTTCGGGACTTTTAATCCTATACGCATGCCTCGGTTCCCTATATTTAAAAATGCGTAGTATGTTTCAATATTGAAAAAGCTCTGACATGTTAAGACTACCTAGCCAAGACTTTCTGGGTAAGAACAAACTAAATAAAAAAAACAAAAAAACAATTAACTCTGAGTGCCCACGAACTTTAATTGATAATAATGGGCAATGTACCCATACGTCACAGGTCTCAAAATCACATACGTAGCAAGCAATCTCGCAAATCAAAATTACAATGAATATACAGATAAAAACAATAATTCATGACAACGTCCATAGAATTCAATAAATGTTTCTATTGGATTCAGTTATTATATATATATATATATATATATATATATAGCATCAATATTCAGTCTCATCTGGAGTAATCTATCTTGTGGTTTGTTGAAGAGAATGATCGGCATCGTACCTATTATGGCGGCGTCAATCAGTCGAACTCAATTATATTCCTCATCTGTCAATTTCTTTCTGAATGCGTTAAAGACGTCCATTTCATTGGTTGTGATTTCACAGTCGGAACCAAGTAATCAAGTCAAACGTTCCGCACACCGGTGATCATCAATATTGTATATTGTAATCATTTGTTATCATGCATGTAATATTGAAGTAACATTTAAAAACGTGAATCTCAAACTTTTCCATTATACCGCGACTGATTTCACAGTTTTTTTTTTTTTTTTTGTATATGTGTTCAACATTTTTTTGTTTCTTATGATCGGAAACATGCGATTAAGGCAAGGAAAACAAATGTTTGTTTCTCGTTCGTAGATTTTTGTTTGAATTTTGAGCTAAAATGGAGGGAATTTGAGACAAGTGTGGGTACACGCGCTTTTTGGAATGCTTTAGAAGGAACAAAATGTTCGAGACGCATAGTTAAAAATGATGCGCGCGGACACGAGAAACAGAGATATTTTTTTTCTCAGCCTTAAATGTATTATTATTTCATACATTATATTAAGTAGTGTGTAAAGTTATAATGACTTCATTATTCGGTAATTATATTCCTTGTATCATATCAATGTATCAACTATACACATAGACTTTTGTATGTAAGTAAATGTATATTTTGTCCACATGTTACATATATACTGTACTTTGTTGATGTCATTTTATGGCAAGGATTCCGTTAAATGAATGGGCATGTCAGTGCTTCGTATTTTCACTAACAATATTTGTTTTCAGTATTTTACCATGACAACTACCAACTTCTGTTGTAAATGATATTATAGGTGGCTCGTTAATAGTGCTACTACTGTCTGCTCAGTCTATTCATTTAAAACGAAACACAATCCTCATATATAACAAATCTATATGAATAAACACTTAACCATTTTTTGCTGTTAATCGAAGTACATCTTATTGTAAGCTGTATGCTGCATATTTACTCATTTCAGTCACGAAGAATCCATTATACAATTCCAATGTCCATTACCCACAAGGCTCATCACCTTCGCTTTACTCATAACACACCTTCATTGATTGGATACATATACGATACAATTTACATTCTCCTTCACTGTGTTTATATGAATGACCTTTTCGTGCATCTGGCACCATCCAGTTGAAACTGTAACAAACTATCAACATGTAATTCGTGTTATTTGGTTTACCCATCTATTTATATCATGTTTTCAATAATTGCCCCTTTATGACTATGTTGAATTTGTGTATTGTGTGTGTGTGTTTTTGTGTTTATTTGTTACGTAATTTTTAGTAGCTTCGAAATCTATATTCAAATTCACATGTTGGTATTTGTGAAACCGATATATCTCGTTCAAATCCAGCGAATACGTTCTATATCAGTGTCTAAGTTCAAAATTGTAGTGCATTGTTTTTATTTGATTAAGTGATCCCGATATCATAATATTTATCGTATCAAAATATTTATACGTATATATATATATA